AGAATGTGTTTGAATTTGGGGGAATGGAGAGAATGTGAACATTTTACACAGACTCTTTAATTCATGTAACTTCAACTAATTCAATAAAGAATACAGACTCTTAGAGGCAAAGAATTTTTTAACACTCATAAATTATATATCATCTTTAAATGAATGTAGTGCAGTCCAGGCAGATATACGTATTTATTTGCACTGATAGTTTATTAAATTATTTATTGAGTGCATATTTGCATACTACTATAGCATTTCTCTTTAACATTAAGAATTATAAACTCACATATCTCAGGAAGCCTGCTGCTGTAGATTGGATGCACCCCCAACCTCACTGAGGTTTATTTAATCCCCACTGTTACTATTGAGGGTGGGAAATCCTATTATGGTAATGAAAGGTGGGGTCTTGAAGAGGTGGCTAGATTGTAGGACCATGCCATAGTGAATGGATTAATAATGGGGTCAGGGGCTGGTTCTGAGAGCTTCAGAAGGAGAGTACATGAAGAGTTTTCCTCTCTCTGCTCTGCCATTTTCTGCCATGTGAGACCCCTGTCATTGTCTCCACCACCAAGACCCTCTCCAGATGTGTTCCCTGGACTTTGGACTTCCCAGCCTCAGAAACTATGAGCAGTAAATTTCATTTTCTTACAAATTACCCAGTTCCATGTATTTTGTTGAAAGTAACAGAAATGGACTAATACAGTAAGTGATAAGGTTGGAAATAGTGATGGGGCTAGGTTGAGATGGTCCTCAAACAATATAACTTGTAAAGTGTTTGAACTTTCACAGTCCATTGGGGAGTAAGCAGTAAGGAAACCATTAAATATTTTTGAGCTAGTAATTTTATTATAATGCCATGGTTGTGGCAACAGGAGAGTGAACCAGGAAGGATAGATTTGAGAGATATTATGAAGTCCAGATTATCAGGACTTGGTGATGAATTGAATATAGTTGGCCAGTGAGTAGAAGAGATCAAAGCCAATTCTAAAGATTTTGACATGGGTTATAGAGAAATAGTTGTATGTTTGACAGAAAATAAAGAACTCTGGAGAGATACTCGCTTTTCATGGAAATGCGTTGAGTTCAATTTGGGACATATTGAGTCTGTGATTATGTTAAGAAATTCAAATGAAAAAACCCCAGCAGTCAAGTGATATTACAGAAGTGGAGCTCAGGAGAAAGTCAGGGTTGCACACATAATGGCTTTATTTAGAGACAAGAGAGTGGATATAGAGGGCTGGGGTCTGCACCTTGGGTAAGGCGCATTGTGTTAGGGGACAGATTCCTCTTTCTCTCCATTGTCACAGCCCTTCCTTGTTCAGGCCTTCATCATTACAGTCCTTTCTGTCAAAACCATCCTAGAGAGTGGATATAGAGGGCTGGGGTCTGCACCTTGGGTAAGGCGCATTGTGTTAGGGGACAGATTCCTCTTTCTCTCCGTTGTCACAGCCCTTCCTTGTTCAGGCCTTCATCATTACAGTCCTTTCTGTCAAAACCATCCTCCACATGGCAGTCATAGGGATCAATCCCAAATACATCTTAGACACGACAGAGTCATGACACATTAGCATGGCATGCAAGGCTCTCCATGATCTGGTTCTTTGCCTACCTCTGGACTTCGTCACCAGACATCCAGCAACACTGATAGTAATGGCAGGTAAATTAATCATTATTAAGCACCTATATGCCAAGCATTATATTCTGTATACATTATTTTATTAATCCTTACATCAACCTTGCAAGTTATATATGATTATCCTTATTTTACAGACGAGGAAATTGAATCACATAGGTTACACAGCCACTAGTAAGTGGTGAAGGTGAAACTTAACCCTGATCTCTGTAAATACGATGCCTGGGCTCCTAACCTCTTTGCGTGCTGAACTCCTCGCAGCTGCACGAGTGTGTCATCACATTTGCGCCTCCCCTGCCTTCCTTTGTTTGCGCTTCCCCTTGTGTTCAGAGTGCTGTTTCCTCCTACCCTGTCCCCTTAACCTTTTCACTCCTGCTGAGCCTTTAAGCCTCAGTTTAAGAGTATTTGATGGAAATTTTCTCTGCTCTTTCCCATCTCCCCAGCTGGATTCAGAACCCATTCTTTGGGCTCCCATAATCTCTCTCGTATTATGGACGTTATTATAATTAACCAGGTACTTGTATCTCAGCCTTCCTAGTGGATAAGGAGTTGGCAAACTTTTTCTATAAAGAGCCAGACAGTAAATATTTAAGGCCTGTGGGCCATAAGGTCTCTGTTGCAACTACCTTATCCTGCTGTGGTGGTTTAAAAGCAGCCATAGCAATAAATAGACAAATGAGTGTAGCTGAATTCCAATAAAACTTTGCTTATGGACACTGAAATTTGACTTTCATATAATTTTCACATGTCACAAGATATTCTTTTAATTTATTTTTCCAGTTATTAAAAAAATGTGAAAACCATTATTGACTTATGGGCCTTACAAAAACATGTGCAGGCTGGATTTGGCCCGTAAGTTTACTTTGCCGACCCCTGCATTGGAGTATGAATTTCTTGAAAGCAGGTACTGAATCTAATTGACTTTGGTATCCCCATTTTATGGCACATAATAGGTGCTAAGGAAATTGTATTGACTTAATCAGGAGCCTAGAAGGAGCATTAGTAGAATGTAGAATTAGGAGAAACCCAATTCAGTAGTGTATCCAAGTCAAGGGAGAACTGTGTTTTCAAAAGGAGGGATTTATCCTCTAGGAATAATTGCACACATGTGCAGATACAAGTTTAAGGGTGTTGGTAATACAGAGTGGTGAAAAACAACCTGAATGTTCACCTGTATGGGACTGGTTTTATGGTATATCCATTATGTAGAATACTCAGTATTTGATAAAACAGCAGCTTCCATAGCTGCTTGCAACAGAAGCTAATTCAAAAAAGCCACCTGCAGAATGAGCACTGTCATTTCCTAATCTGGGGTCTCCTCATGCAGCCATGGCCTCAGGTAGAGCAAGTGAGGCAGTGCAGATTCCCTGACATTTAGTTTCTAACCCTTATTGTTGGTCTGCAGTAATATCCAGGAAACTCTAAAAACTAAGGCTTGGCATACACTTTCTTTTATAATGCTTGTAAAACTCTTAACATGCATAGCCCATCCTTCATAAAGGCTAGCCATCAGGAGGAAAAAAAAATCTATTATTCTTATAATTGTATATATGTCCTCTTGATGTTATAGTAATAGAAGTGGTTACCATTATGTTGTGTGGTTTTATCTTAAAGGTCTGAGAATCCCAGATACCTGACCATTGGCTAAATAAGTTGTAACTACATAGTTATTAAGAGCCTCTTGTGAAGGACTAGGGCTAGTAGATACTATACATGACAGGAAATCCTCATTATGGATAACTAGCCAGAGTACTGTGTGTGAAGTGAATACATTAACCTGAAAAGAATGAGAAAAGAAAAAAAGTAATTATATTGGAAGATGTCATTGTGTTTAGGAATATTAAGACATCGTAAAAATATTAAAAGTAGAGACAGTCTTATTATAGCATAGGATAAGGGGAAAGAAAACATATCTTTTTCTTTTTTAGAAAATTAATGGGAACACAGCTTACCAGATGTTTCAACCTATAAGGATAAATTGTAAATTTTTCAAGTTGTTCGGGTTACATTTTTTTTTTTAAATTTTTAACATTTACTTTTTAGTAGATAGAACTAGATAATTTGTAAAAATACAATAAAATAAAGTTACTTTACTTGTTTCTGGACTATGTCTTTTTAGCACTACTATTTATTTTTTTCTGACATTTACAGAACACCTGCTGAGTACAAAGAGCTGTGATTCATGCAGACATGAGTAAGAGATGATCTGTATCACTTGAATATACTCAGGCTACACACTTCTGAAATATTAAACATTTTTCCTGAAAAAAAAAGTTTCATGGTCAAATGAGTTTGGGAAACACTGGCTAGGCAGTATTAATTAGATTTCTTCACTTTGGGATTTCTCAGAGCCTTTGTTGTACTAATATGATTTGATCATAGTGTCATTCTTTCTGGGAGCAACTCCAGGAACTATTAGGGAACATAGTTGAGGAAATACTTAGACCTTCCATTGAACTATTATTTCATCTATTCATTTGCTTCAAGCTTATTTAGTCAAAGACATTCTCAAATAGTAACCTGATCAGCACATTTTTTAAGCATTCTGTTGTACCCCAAAAGGTGACAAGTAAGAGACACTGGTAAAGTTTACAATATATTGTGCAGTTTGTCAGGGCTTTGGAAAATGAGTTTTGATGATCCCCGGGACCTTCTCTTATACTAGGTAAACAGCTAAAACCGTATTTGGTAGGGTGACCATACCAATCTATTGTCCAGGCTGGGATGCTTTGAGAGTGAGAGAGGTTGCTGTTAATGATGCTGGCACCACAGGTATAAACCAGAATTCTCCCAGGCAGGATAGGATGGTTACCCTAGTTACAGTGCAACCTCGACAGTTGTGTACAGTTTCATCTGGGACCTTCATTGCTTCAGCCCTTGTTCCTGACTTCAGTAATAGCCCCTTCTCCAGTGTTGGTTGATTCTTAGTTAATTCACAGGCTTTGGGATGTGTGAAAGATTTCAAAATCATTTATAGCACTAATGTTTTTTTTGTTTTCAAAAAGAGGACCACTAAGGGGATCTTAACCCTTAACTTGGTGTTATCAGCACCACACTCTCCCAAGTGAGCCACGGTCCGGCCCTTATAGCACTTATGATTTAAACCTGAAACAGTGGCTTCAAAGAATGTAACTAAAATTTAACAAGTGGTTTTCAAAGTGGGTAAAAGTAGATATTCCTGACAATTACTGCATATTGTTTTTTAAAATTTGTCTCTCCCAGAGAAGTTTTCTTCAAAAAATGCCAAGGTATTAATTCATACTATCAAAATTAAATGTTTTCTGTGGAAAAATTTTTAGTACTAAAGCAGAAGAGAAGAATTATTTCATTAATTATATAAAATGTTTTCTGTCTTTTTTATTTTTATTTTTTACAGTTTTTTGAGGTGCCATTTGACTCAAACATGAATAGGACAAAGAACAGACCTCTGGTTCGTGGACAGATCAGGTAAAATCATGAATATAAGTCTCTTCCACATTATAGACTCTTCATGTGCTTGTTCATTTTGAATCATTCCCCGGTTTTTCACCTTGAGCCATGAAGCGAAAACAGCACACCTGCAAAGGGACTAGTTAGCGTGATACGCAGCACTTTTCATCTCTAACCAAAGTGTCCTACAGAGTACTTACAAGGGATCTAAGATTTGCAGTTGTTTTGGTGGGAGTAACTTATGCAATAGATTTTTTTATTGAATTCAATTCTGAGACTAGCACTTTGTTTCACTTGTAGTGGCCGAAGATGAAAACATTCCATTAACACAAATCATTTTCGTACTGATCCACGTAGGGTCTCAGAAGAAGAATATGTCTAAAACCTTATTTTTTCAGATAAACTGATAATGCCAAGTAAAGTACTGCCTCCATTACTCTCCATTCCACCAAATTCAATTAAGTAGAACTAAAAGGCATATAAATATTTTAATATCACTAATGGTTAATAATTAATCATTTTACTTCCTGGAGACCTCTAAACCAGCATTTTAAAATATTTTTTGAATCTGATATACATCACAAGCCTAGAAGAATAAAAAGGGCCACATGGTTTATGCTGACTATTCTAGATCAGTGAATCCTCTCCATATTTCCAGGCAATAATCATGGAGCTCAAAATTTATTGGGGTAACACTTGTGTATCAAATAATAACACATATTAAGTAAAACAAAGGAAACAAATATAGATACAGTCAGATAAGTCTGTGTAAAAAGGATTTTTAATATTAGCTCTTTTTAGACATTTAATTCTTTATGAATTTAAAATAACATACTAAAAGGGACCATAGAGCCAAATGAAAATATGGAACAAAAACCTTGTATCTACTGATATTTTACTTCCTTGTTTTGAAATATAAATAGAGCTATTTGTGTGTTTTATGTTTAGAAACTGTCAGAAGTGCTTTTATTTGAGCAAAGTTGTTTTAGAGGGGAGAATCAGTCTATATACCCATCTCAAAAGCTAAAAGCTGCTCTTGCCACTGGTCAAATCACAGGTAAGTTCTTAATGATTTGGCATCTCAAATTCCATATGTATATACCCCAATTCATTTTCTTTCCCAAATCTGTCTTTTTTTTTTAATGTACCTTAATTTATATTCCGAAGTCAGGCACTGTAAGCCATCCTAGACTTTTCTTTTTCTCTTATCCCCTTCATCTGATTTTTCAACAAACTGTATCTTTTCAACCTCTTGAATTACCCTTGAGTCTGTGCCCTCTCACCCCACTACTTCAGCTTCAGACCGTCATTAATTTTGCACAGGTTGTCACAACAGCATTTCAGCTGATTTCTTTACCTTCACTGTAACCTCCTTTCATCTGTCTTCCACTCAGTTAGCAGATAGGTCTTCTTTAAATGATCACACTGGTTTCTGGCTTAAAACCCTTTCACCAAACATATTGAAGACAAAACATTTGTTTTTAATTCTTTACTGTGACAGATAAGGCCTTGCAGGGTCTGCTCCTTCTCAGTCCTTGCAGCCTCATCTCCTGCTATGTTTGCTTTCTTTTACTTATTCTTTTGTGTTACACTGTGGCTAAAATAACTGCTTGTTCTCTCATACCTGCCAGGTGTGCTAACCTTATGCTTTCATCGCCTGGGTAATTTTTGTACCTGACATTACTTCATCTGGGAGTGATACATACTCCCATACTCCAGTAAGGCAGTGTTAGATGTTTTGCCATGGCACTTTCATTGTTCTCAGTGCATGCCTGTGACATAGCACAACTCAGCACATGACATACGTTTCTGTTTCCTTGTGTCTCTTTCTCTATTCTATTGTGAGTTCTTCTAAGACAACAATTGAGTCTTCTGTTTATCTCCAGTGCCCAGGATCATTTATATAACACTTATTTCCTGAGTGCTTAATATGTGCTAGGTACCATTTTAATGCTATGATGCAGCAGTGAACAAAACAGACAAAAGTTTCTGGTATTATGGAGCATAATTGTTAGTTATATCTGGCATATAGCTGATGCTTAGTGATGGGTAGATGGATGGATGGATGGGTGGGTGGATGGATGGATGGATGGATGGATGGATGATAGAGAAGTAGAAATGACCTCCAGATGAGGAAAACACAGAAGTAAAGATGCCAAGGCAAGAATATGTGACATATGCTATCTAGGCCATAAGAAGGCTATTCAGACAGGAGTGGAGAATGAGAGAGGAGAGAAAGTTAGTGAGCATGAAGACTAAAGGCAGGGATTACAGAGCTTGACAGATGAATAGGCTTTGGATAGATGGGGAATGAAGCAAAGATGTGCCAGGCAAGGTGAATGTGGTGAGCAAAGGTACAAAGATAGAAGTGCAAATCTGTGTTTAAGGATGAAGACAGGCAGCCTGGCTGTGTGCAGAGTGAAGGAGTTGTGTAGGAGAATGGTGAGGAAAGAAAACAAGAGGAGATGAAGGAAAAGGTTCCCATGAGCCTACACTGTGAGGGCTCTTCTCTAGGACTGTGGTCCATGTTGTTCTGGAGCTCCTATCTGGTACAATAAGTCAAGAAAAAGAAATACAAGACATGTGCATTGGAAAGGAAGAAATAAAACTCTCTTTGTTCACAGTGTGAATGTTTACATTGGAAATTCAAACAAATCTATTTAAAAAGCCACTAGAAGTAATAAGTGAATTTAGCAAGGATATGAGATACAAGGTCAATATACCAAAATCAGCCGTAGGAGTTCCACTTCCAGCATTGCAACATGAGCTGCTACCCAGACCCACTTCACAGTGAAACTAGGCTAGGCAAAGAATTCTTAGATAAAAACACAAGCAGTACAAACCATAAAAGAAGAAACGGATAAATTGAACTTCATCAAAATTAAAAACTTCTGCCCTTTCAAAGACACTTAAGAAAATGAAAAGATAAGCCATAGAGTGAGAGTAAACATTTGTAAAACAGAGATCTGATGAAGGATTTGTGTACAGAATATAGAAGGAATCCTTAAAGCTCAATAATAAGAAAACAACCCAGTTAAAAATTGGACAAAAGGTTTAAATGGACACTTCACCAAAGAAGAAACACAGACGTCAAATAAACATATAAAATATTTCCAACATTAGTAGTCATTAGGGGAAATGCAAATTAAAACCACAATGAGATAGCACTACACACCTGTTAGAATAGTTAACATTTTTTGAAAACAACACCAAGTGCTGGTAAGGACGTATAACAACCAAAACTCTCATATATTGCTGGTATGAATGCAAAATGGTATTGTCTCTTGGGAATTTGGCAGATTTTTATAAAGTTAAACAAAATTTACCATACAGCTCCACTCCTATATATGTATGGAAACACGTCTACACAACAACCTGTACATGAATTTTATAACAGCTTAATTATCACTTATAACAACCTAGTGTTCCTTAACTGGCAAATGATAAAAAGATTATGGCACATCCATAGAATGGGGTACTGCTCAGAAACAAAAAAGAACAAACCACTGATACATGCAATGACATGGATAAGTTTCAAAAGCATTATGTTAAGTGAAAGAAGGAGGACACTAAAGGCTACATACTATATGATTCCATTTATATTACATTTTGTATTTTGTTTGTTTTCTTTATTTTAAAATAAAATAAGGACCCTGGTCATGCTCTGTTTCTTGCCTACATCATCTGGGCAGAGGGTGCTGGCCCTTGGCTCCTGCCTTTGGACACCAGGACTGTTCTCCATATGACATTTTGGAAAGCCAAAACTATATGGACAGAAATCAGATCAATGGTGACCAGAGACTGGCGGTGAGGGGGAGGGGATTACACAGAGGGGCACAAGAAACTTTTTGGGATTATAGAAATGTTCTATATCTTCATTGTGGTGGTGGTTACACTATTGTCTACCTTTTTCAAAACTCAGAACTAACTGTACACCTGAAATGGTTAAGTTTATGTATGAACTATTATGATATGTTTTAGACAAGATTTTCAGGGCATTTGGTTTTTCCTGGGGAATATATTAATGTAGGTTGTGGAGCATCAGATTTGGGGTCAGACTGTCTGGACTCAACCTCAGCTCCTCTAACTACTTCACCATGCAACCTTGAGCATATCACTAAACTTATCTGAAGCTCCTAGTCCTTGACTGTAAAACAAGGATGATGCCTCCTACCTCAGAATGTTACACGAGAAAACAACCATTCTTGTAAAGCAGTGAGTGAGTGATAGTCCGTCATCGTTGTTGTTATTACTTTTTGTCAAAATCATGTCCTGAGCATCTGTGGGTGTTAGGCTCTGTGCCGAATGCTGCAATATGACCAGCATGATTGGTGTCTTCCCTCATTACAATCCAGTGGGGGAGGTAGAAAATGAACCAGTGAACAAATGAATTCCAAAAGATCATTCTAAGCCTCAGTGGTATGGAGGAAGTAAACAGAATGATACTGTAGACCAGCTGGGGGAGGCCTCTCTAGAGAGGGACATGAGGGAACGTGGATCTGAGAAAGTGGCATCTGAGTGGAGACCTGAAGGATAAGGATGCAGAGACGTGGGGGAAGGCATCGTGGGCAGAGAGAGCAACCAGCACAGAGCCAAGGCAGTCAGAGTGTACCTGCGCCATCAGTAGAAAGGAGGCCAGTGTGGCCAGAATGTAGTGAACAAGGAGAGGCGTGGCATGAGGTGAAGTCAGAAGTAGACCATGGTAAGAAGTCTGGCTTGAAATCTGCATGTAGTGGGAAGCCAGAAATGAGTTGCAACAATAGAGCTGGTGTGATCAGATTTAGGTTAAAAGAAGCCCTGAGCTGCCCCAGGGAAAGTGGACCATAGGATCACAAGAGTGAAAAGAGAGACTTGCTACAGGTCCTAGTGTGAGTTGACAGCTTGGACCAGGGTGATCACAGATGAGGTGAAGTTCTGATGTTGCTCAATTCAAAATTTAGGCTGGCTACCATTGCCTACAAGTCCAGTTAAACTGTGTCTGCTTTTTCAGGCCTCTTTTCCTCTTTTCTGAGGCTCCC